TACGCGCCTAAAAGGATCACGTAAGAAATTTAACCGTTATCATAAGCCTTATTCGTATAAGGGCACATAATATAATATCGAGTGACAGTCTGTGCCCTAGTGGATTATTGGAAGCGTAGTACGTGGGTGGCGTGACAACCACAGCCATGAATATCAACCGTTTGACACTCCGTGTCGGTGAAAACGGGCGTGAACGTATCGAGACGTGCGTTTCAACCTATCGAACCTACTTGAGAATAACGTAACCATGTTTTTTTTTAATATAAAACAAACTACCAGGCCTATTTTCTATCTCACTTACTCACTTTTTTATATGGAGATTTTTTAACCTAAATTTTACACTTTTATGTACCATTCTTTAAACGTTGTTTTTCATACAAACTTTATCCTCAGAATTACAAACAGAACAAAAAATATTGCTTAGTAAGTGCACTCATTCTAAAGGTATACACTTGGCAATTGTTTCTTTTTTTCTGGACTCACTTGGCTAGAGCTACTGTTGGTCCCTAGATCCCGAAACAAATTATTTTTACTTATATAGATTTTGTGCCTAAAAGTATTCCATAAAAAAGAGGTACGGATGTATAGTAAGAAAGTAAGAAATCAACAATATCAACCCTACGATAATTGAATTAAAAATTCTGCAAAAATGTCTATGTGCCTACTAGATTTGATAAATCGTCTCAAATCTAATTTTATTCACGACAAAAATTATAAATCAATCATAAATATTTACATAAAATAATACTATAAATAACCATACAAAAATACCGAAACCACTTTAGCCGTTATCGTAAGCCTTATTCACATAAAGCTACGCAATACAATATTGAGTGACAGTCTGTGTTCTAGTGGATTATTGAGTGACGTGACAACCACTCCCATAAATTTATTATTATATACTAAGACTGACCACAACGAACATGAAAATCCTTTTGTTCGAATAAAGTCAAAACAATTGTTGAAAACGACAAATACAGTAAGTTCATTAAATTCCCATTATAAATACATATCATCATCATCATATCAGCCTTTAACTGTCCACTGCTGAACATGAGCCTGTCTCTTGGGGGGTTTAGCCAGTAGTTGCCACGCTTGGCAGGCGGATTGGCAATCGCTGTCAGGCTTTAAAGATGTTTTAAGATGGACGCTGGTGTCCTTCCCTCGCCCTCCCTTAGTTGGCTCTTACGACACCCACGAGATAGGAATGGGTGGCCTATTATATGCCAAGACCACACGGCTAAACAATTATATAAATAATATATAATACAAATAATATATAAATACATATAAACAATCTGAATATGAACTATGTAACACTTAGTGTCACTAAAAATATGTGTGCACGTTTATCTATATTATACAGGTACTATACTAATACTATACGAATATTAAAAGTTAGTAAAGTTCCTAATTTGAAAATCTGATTTACTGCAGTCTGAGAGCATAATATTTTAACTAAAGACGCCTAATTATAGACATTATCACGTACCAGAACAAAACTTGAGCTATTTCAATGTCTCGAACAGCCGTCGCTTTATGAAAAATCTCCACAAAAACCTTTCTTCCAGCATAAGACGACTGCACAGGACGTATATCAATTAATTCTACGAGTGCAAAAATATAGCAACTTTACTTACTTTCTCACTTTGCTAACTATAAGGCTACTTCTATATTGGTTCTTTTTTAATATTTTTGCTTTTCGTTTAAGAACATTTTGTAAAAATGTTAGTTGAGCATCACTTCCAGATTTTTAATACCGTTTCTAAAGTTACAACTAAGTTGCAATGAGAAACATCGATAAAAAGAAAGAATAATTTTTTTAAAAACTTAAACTAGCAAAGCAGCAAAGTCCGAAATCTCGTATTTTGTAAATGAAATAAAACAAAAACTTTGCTGTCAAAATTCCCAAGTGAAACCTTAGCGAAGGCAGTGTGCTTTTGAAGTTTCATTAAACGAGAATAATTTGAAAGAATAATTCGACTAAAATAAGTTTTTATATAAAAATCTTGTGTTGATCTTCAAAGTTTATTATCAGACCCTGATCTGACATTACATTAAAGAAAAATATAAAAACCCTTATTGTGCTAACTTTGTTTAAATAATATTTCATATATTTTTCGTAAGTCATTTAAGAAGAAAACTAAAACTGTAAGTGCAAAATTAATAAAAAATAATAAGCAAACAATGTAATGAAAACTATAATTACAACGGAACAGAACAAAAAAAAAATCACATCGAATTTTCTTTTCTGAAAACCCCTCTTAATCCAAACCCAAGATATATAATGACAGATGTTAATCGCTAACGGCTATAAGTTCTTTGTCTGCCCCTCATTGTGCAAAGGAAAGCTGTTCATCGATAAAGCACGAAGTTGAAGGATAGAAAAGCTTTCATCTCGTCCACTTTATAAGTATTGGCTTCCTTACCCTAATATTGTCGCCTTCACATTGAAAGCTAAGTTTTGAACTTACAATTTATTACCGATCAACGATTATTATTACATTTAACTTATGTTCTATTATCTGAAACAACAAACAGTTAATTAAATTCGCATAATTGTATTATGTATTATTTTGAATAATATTAGATAGATAGATAGATAATTTATTTGCATTACTTACTTACAGCACACAAATTACAACATACATATAAAAAAAAAGCGAGATAACATAAATGATAAAAAAAAATACATAAAGCTAAATACAATTTTCGTTTGTGAGTGTGCCATAGCAATACAAAATGATATTATATATATATATATATATATATATATATATATATATATATATATATATATATATATATATATATATATATATATATATATATATATATATATGGATATTATGGATTGATGTCTTGTGTTAAGTATCATTACATCCTTGTTTTACAAATTATCATAAATTTAATGCAAGTACAATAATATATATATATTTTTTTATACAACTTAGAATGGCAAACAAGCTGAAGCCCACCTGATGGAAAGTGGTAACAATCGCCTATAGACATGAGCAGTACCATGGACATAACAGAGTATACTGTTTCGCCCATGATACCCCCCATACGTTGCCATTCCTGAGGACTCAGGTGTTATTCCTCTGTACCCAGTAAATTCACGCCATATCCCACCCTTCAAACCGAAACACAGCCATGCAAACACAACTGCTTCACGGTAGAAACACGAGTGGGACAGAGGTGCCCAAGCAATCGACTTTTATGCAAAGTCTCCCTCTGATAATTCCTGTGCCGAATTTTAATTTTATATTTTGTTTTCGCAACAAAACGTTTAATCATGACAAAATTTATACGGGACAATTACGTAAGCAATACCAATTTATTGCGACAATTAAGAGTCTTTGTAAAGTCTTAGATATTTATTATTCTAGTGAGATTCTAGTGAGAAATATTTTTATTTCCGCAAAATCAACAATGATGTCAATTTAAAAATCAATTATCGTCTATATATATAAAAATCTATTATTCAATAGATATATATAACATATAATATCAATGTCATTTAATATTTGATTGTAAAATGTATACTATTGTCGCATTAAAAGCTAGTCGTGCTAAAAACAACAATGTTGATTTGCCATTATAGTAAGTGAATAGAAATATACTTACCACAATGGAGAATGCGAGGGGACTTTCCGGTCGCCAAGGAACTGAAAAGGTAGTGGGTACTAGATTAAGAATATGCCCGTAAAGTACAATACGATTTCCTGATCTAAGAATATCTATTGAACATTTTTAATGATATCGTCACATCTATTACGTACGATTTTTTTGAGCAGCAATCCATTAGTAATAATGTTTTTTTTTTTTTATATACAACTTAGAATAACAAAACAAAATGACAGCCCACCTGATGAAATGTGGTAACCATCGCCTATAGACATGAACAGTACCATGGACAACAAACATAACAAAGTGTACTGTGGCCATGATAATGGTACATGATATACTATTTTTTTTTATTTTTTTTTTTTAATGTCATAAAAGCTAAGGCAAATACATCAATTTTCACGGTTAATGCACTGAGTCATTTTTGAAAAATCTAACAACCCAATAATATCATTTTTGAAATATTTATCTACCCTTACTATGGTAAACTAGATTTGGTGATATTCACAATTTTATTGGTAGACATATTAATGTTTACAAGCAACGGTTGACACTTCCCAGACTTCGTGTTTCAGTCGTGCCATATACTTGTACGCGGGCATTATGGTATAAAAAGTATATAACATTCAGAATAAATTTCTCTCGTTCGTAACACAAAGTATTGACAGATAGTACGACATATGTAAGTCGACGTGAATCCTCCGTTAAGCGACGTTCACCGTTTACTACGAAATGCACTTAAGGTGACGTGAGTCCAACCGTAAAAAAATTACCTCAGCACCTTCAAGATAGCCTATTACGGATTTTACTATTTCTAACTCTTACCTTGAATTATATCAGATATTCTTAACATTTTAAATTTGTTTATATATTTAATTCCGTCATTGGAGGGAGGGAGGGGTATGTTAGTAATAAGATTTAACAACCTCATTGCTAGCAATACACCCTATCAGGTCGACCTCCAAGCGGTTCCCACTGGAAACCATAGTGGTTAATTCTTGTGCCTTGATCCTTACCTGTCACCCTTCACTGGTGCCCCGTCAGCGTTTACCGATAGCGCAAGCAGGGTTATCATTCCATATTTATCCATAAAAATAATCCCGTCATTGTGTATAGTTGCTTTTTATTTACCCATTACTAGAAAAAAAAAACAATAAAGCCTCTTAATTTACTTCTCATCGATTTCTTAAACTTCAACACTATTATAACCCGCGCATTATTATTCTTGAGAACTAAAATGTCTTCCTTCCTTCAAACTGAAACACGACTATTAAACAATTTTCAAAATTTAATAAATGAGATATTTAATTATCTAAATACCGCTATAGTATTAATGTAACTTCTTTGCTAATTAATTAAATATTTAATTCCAGATTCGGAACTCGAGGAGTTGGGTGAACAACTCCCTCGGTACCGGCCGGACTCAATCGCGGCGCTCCGTCGTGCCACGCGGTTCACAGAACCCGAGCTGAAGAGGCTATACCGGGGCTTCAAAGCAGAGTGTCCCACTGGCGTGGTCAAAGAAGACACCTTCAAAATTATATACTCACAGTTCTTCCCACAAGGAGGTATGTTTCTCTACAACCACCTAATATTCCATGGTACAACTCATTCTTATGATGCTTAGTTGGGTCTGTTTTAGTAATTTATTACTTATGTAGCAGTTAGAGTAATGAATAACTTAGGTACTGAGCGGTGAGTTACTACTAAGTCAATTATAATTCAGCCTATGAACAACAAAATGTTAGCATGTAAAACCTAAGGTTTTTTTTAATAAATTCTACCTTATCATCGCTTCACATTAAATAAAATTGTGTTCAGATTTAATACAATTTAACACAAAGAATATATATATTTTAATCATTTTACTCAAATACAATTTAATTACGAAATTATTCTCCACTCAATTGTTACTAAAACAGTACCAAACAGGGTTAACTGTACCTTTTAATTTAATTTTAAATCGTTTAATCCCCAAATAAGCAAATTATCTACATAGCACTGCAAAATAAGTTGTTTTACATTGAGAGGCCATTTCAAAAAGCCGCAATGTCGTTCTTAGGGACTAATAAAATGCTAAACACGAGTAAGTCTATTCATTTGCTAATTAATGAGTAAAGCTTTTTGGGCTGATTTGAGAATAAGTGACCACTCGTAATGAGTTTTTTTTAAATTTAAGAATAATATCATACGTGAAATAAATAATTCTCATTAATAATATAAATGTGAAAGAGAGTTTGTTTGTTTCTTTGTTGGCTTATAGCATCTTAACGGGCAATTTCTATGAAATATACTATACACGTACTACTTGAATATAAGATATAGAAAGATGTAGGTTATTTTTTATCCTGGTCAGTAAACATATCCCAGTCACGCGGTCGAAGTCGCGAGTAAAAGTTAGCAAGTAATAAAGGACTGTACATTTTGATAGAAGATCGAAACATTCCTTTTTTAGGATGGCCTCGATTCATCTAAATTTGGCTTTCTCTATTTAGTACTAGATTGTGCTTAGCAGAAATAATACACAGAAAACCAGCAGGCCTTCTTGGTAACGTTTGAAATACGTATCGAATATCGAAGTGATCGATTTCCAATAAAATGGTAAGTATACCTACTTCTGATTAAAATCATTGAATGCAACGAAATCTCCTCGAGTTTACTAAAAATCCAGGAATTATTAAAGTATTTTTATGCTGGTCCACTGTCAAATAAACACAAAACAGAAAAGCAAGGACGACTCCATCTTTTCCCAATCAAAATCTTTACTAATTGTAAGATTAATATGTCCAATTTGGCATTTTTTTAATTAATATTAATATGTAGTAAAAAAGTAAAATGTAAGAGTGGGCAATATCTATATATTGTAGTTGTAACTACTATATATATATATGAAAAGGAAGTACCCGCTTGTAATGAATGTAGATATCTGACCGGTATGAGCGATAGATAGTCATTAATTTCCAAAAGAACTCAATATATAGATATCGGATATTACCCATCTTTAGTAAAAGGCTGACAGAATAAATAAATAAATAAAAAAAAATATTTGAAGTTTTATTTATCTTTCACCGGATATTTCAGCTGAGCCGCCATTTAAAAAACTCGAAGGTAAGTCGTAGATTCTAATTTGATGTTTTTGTGCCAGCTTCCTGCATCGCCGGAATACAATTGCCACAGGTTATCACTCTAAAATCAGTAATATTTCTCTATACCATACTATTAAAAGTCCCACTGCTAGACACAAGTCACTTCCTATTACTACATACTAGGTACTATTGCCACGCATTGTGCAACTTGATGTAGGACTTCGGGTTCCGAGTTTTCATTTTACATTATTACAAATAATTTACTGTCTTAGTCACCTGTTACGACATTCTAGGGATAAAATTAGTAATAATATTATATCTTACTCGATGATCACCGTAGGCATATTTAAGAGGGGAGCCGGGTGGGCCGTGCGCCGTGCCTACCACATAATTGCCTGGTGCTGACGCTACAATTGCCTGGTACCCAACCCAAGATTCGACCAAAGTTTCACAAATACATGTCTGAGAGTACCTTTTTACCTATGTACCTTTTTTAGATGGCCAGGAGGCCTCGAAAAAGTAATCGTAAATATGTAATAATGGCCATAACAGATATATTTTTATGTCTAGTTTGAAACCGAAAAACACGAAATTCTACAATCTTGTCAGAGAGCATCCACCGTTGTATTAACAACTCCGAATTCATAACATGTATATAACTGGATAATGGGAATTAAACGGACTTACAATCAAACAATTACTATGTTTGTCCTTTCCGACAATTGTTTTGATTTCGTCTGGAAATTTACATTAGAGTGAGTACAGTGCTACATTCCTGTTATCAAGTTATATTTTAGTTATCAATGAACATAAGTTTTTAAAAATAGCTCCGTATATCCTATAACTTAATTTTCTTTGCAATAAAATATTGCCTATAAATAAAAAACACCGGAATTAACCATTGAAATCTATCAAACTATTTAGGCTCATAGCGTCAAAATATTTATGTACCTTTAACTATTAACTGATATAGAAATATTTTTATATACTCATATTATATTTCTATAAGAGTCTCAAATACATTCCAATGTCATATCTTAATATATTTTCAAATATGTTATTCTCCTTTTTCGGAAATCGGGTACAGACAGATATGTGAATAGAATAGAAACGATAAACAATCCTTTACCATTTCTTTGCATCAGGGGAATTAGATGAACCTTTATGCTCTTCGACCCGACATATCTTTTGTTACTCACATCACAAGGGGTAACCTCTTGCCATTTCCTATCATTTTGTAGAGTAGCCATAAGCTTTGAGATGTCACACCGTTTGAAAGGTCTAGGCAAGATCTAAAAGGGATGTGTATATATTAGGGACTTTTTATGTACGGAGGACAATATTTCTTTAGATATCAAAAACTACGATTGATGAGTGCTTCACTCAAACTGCTTTATTGTCTACGAATCCTTTTACTTTTACGTTTTATCTAGTAATAATATTATCCTTTATTTTTGCCACATCCTTTTACACTACATCTAACGGAAACAATTTTCCTAAATTCTCTCCACACGCTGCAAGCCTTTACATATCTTCCTTCAGAAAAGCTTGTCTTAGAAATAATACGAGTATGTAAAATGTAATGAGGAACCAACAAGAAAATAAATTCTACCGATTACGTAAAAAATAATAAAATAAATAAATAACTAAGCAAAGTTTTAATAATGAGTAGTAGGTAACTGATAAGAATATTTATATACTTTTTTATTTTTAATATCACAGAGTATATACGTAGGCACAAAAAAATTACAATCAAATTAAGAGTACTTCATTCATATTGAAGTCACTAAAAAACTTATGTATTCTAATATTTTACATTTCTACTATTTTGACAACATAATATTATACTCAGACGACTTAAGAATTCACAGAAAAAAAAAGAAAGAATTAATAAGGAAACAAGCACTTAGAATGTAAATTTTGCTTATTTCTCTCTAAAAACTGGATCCGAGAGATTCGAGATATTACACACTGAATAAATTCAATGTCTATAATAAGACTATTTTGTTTATATTAAAAGTTAATAATCACGCGTCTATTATCCTTTAAAAAATAAAACTTGTCAAGTGCGAGTTGAATTTTACGCAGAGTTTAAAATTGTTATATTATCAGGTATATTGCTAGTAATTAGTGTGTTAGTCCCTACCCGTAGTTATAGTTAGTACAATAATACATTATTGTAATAATAATAATCAATCAATAAAATTAAAATTGAATAACATAACAACAGAGTACCTAAGACATGGATAGACACAGTATTTAAAAAATACGTGTCATGATGGCTCCTACAGAAGGAAAACCACAATAATAATTATTAAACGTTATTATTGTTAATAAAATTACTTGTCATTAACGGATATATTATTTTCGGTCGACCTTTGAAATTAGTATAAATTTTTCTTTCCCGCCGTTTGGCAGAAAACAAGGTAAGGCTCAAATATAATATACGCGAGGAATGTTAATAAAAAAATACCGAACCGACTGTACTAAAAGAATAAAATGGGGACATGAAAAACACATCACATAATCATATAATCCCATCAAGTTGAGTGGTCTCGGGTGTGAATGCTGGTGCTGGAATACTTTACATCCATTCAAATTGTCCAGCAGGCCGCGAACTTTGTTGGCTGGGATATGATAAAAGATATTTTCTCATTTTTAATAAATAAGACTTAATTTAAACGATAAATAATAACTACACGATAAAAGATAGATATAAAAATATTACCTACATATTCATGTTCGTCACAGACAAGTCACACATACAAAATAACCCGGGGGGGTTATTTTGTATGTGTGACTGTGTGTGTGAGGTGCCCCCCCCCCACCTCCCACTTAAATATGTTATGCTCTATCACATCCTTGATGCATCATGATGTAAACAGACAATTTACCCGTAAATGAACTAGTTCATATATAGACCTATTTATATTCTTTCTCTTTCAATCACTTTAAAAAAATATCAATTCTGGAAAGTTCTCAATTCGCCTATATTTGTTTATATTACGCGAAATTTTCACCAGATCTGAACCGATGTTCTTAAGTCATTTTGCTAATATCCAACACTATTGAGCATGCTCTTTTAGTGGAGCAAATAATTTGCTTCGCTAAAAGAGAATTTGTTGCAAATTCTTAAGTTTTATTACGCCTAATTTTTTACATTTTTTAAACTAAAGAATTTTTAAGCATTACGTTCAAGCAACAGTCCACATTCTAATCTCGAACCGTTAGAAATATCCGCGAAAATTGCTTGTGAATAAAACTGAATGTCGATGAAGGCAATTTGAACAACGGCAGAGAAAAACGTTAACGAAGCCACGCGAAAAAAAAACTGAATCCGCCTTATCCTGTTCTCTACATAAGCGTTTAAAGCTGCTGAATAGTTAATAGGTACCATTGTCTCTCTGCATTTCTAATTGATTCACTCGTTTATAGATATGTGTTTAAATTTTATTACTATTACGTTTTTTTATTATTATTAC